TTCAGAATATGCAACAGGCTTCAGGGCAAAACCACACTTTTAAAAGGCAACCTTGAACACTTTGTGCAAAACTGCTTTCCTGATGCTCTGGCTCCATCTTTTAGCAAAAAAAGTATAGTTCTCCTGATTGTTTTATCTGTTTTTGACAAATGTTCTCCATCACTGATAAACACATTTTTAAAAAATTGAGAATACAAAATGCAGTAACCTATTCATCAAATTACTATTCATCAAATCATCAGTTTTCTCTGATGATTCATAATTGATCAACACTGTAATCTTAATAAAACATATTTTCCACAACGGCAAAAACTCAAGACCACTTAGGACCTTTTCCCTTTTTCAGAATGGTGTATTTAAATACAATTCCTTAATTTTATAAGAAAAAAGTCCCTTTGAATAAACATCTCTAACATGAAACAGTGAGAAAAGCAAAATTCCTTTCGTTGAAAGTTATGAAACTTTCCTTTTACACAATGACTCATGTAGGTCCTATAAAAATCCTTTCAAACTATCAGGATCTGATTACCTTAAAAATATATATATCAGTACGCACAATTTCTGAATTCTTATTCTCAGAAAAGAGACCGCACAGAGAGGATAAAACAATGGTATGGAAACTTCCCATCCTCTCCAATTGGACTCTTCATTGCAAACTTATTGCTTCCATGTGTTCAGGGGGGAAAAAGAAAATTCAAACTTTTAAGCCAACCACAATCCCTAAAATTTTTGGCGCTCTTATTGTGCATTGAATCCAGAAAAATAAATAAATATATTATTTCTATAATCACATGATTATACCAGACTCAAGATTTATTTTATCATTATGGGAATGTGTCATAATTAATAATAATGGTTGGTTTCTATAACACTTAAAGAAATTATGCTATTTAAATCTGCTAAAATACCATACATTATTGGGTCTTGACGTTGAAATAAATAACGTCTTATGTGGAGCATTGCATTCTAGAACATATAAATTAATTTGGAGGAATTTAAAATGGATAATATTAGCTTAGTGCTTTTTTGTAAAGACATTGTTTTTTTAAAAAATCTGTGGTCACATAAAGCTGAAATTTCGCAGCACCCCAAAATATTAATTTATGCAATTTTCTTAGGCAATGAAACCTCTGTTCAACCTCACAATGAAAAGGTCAATGAATTACCTAACTATGTTGTCTTTGCACTTTTCTACAATCCAGAGTGCAAAATGCATGATTTCAAGAAGTACTTCAAATTTCAGTATGTGTGAAATGAAAAAAAAGAAGGAAAACGTTCCCTCCTCCCAAAGTGAGAACAGATGGGAATGTAAAATTAGACGGGCAGAGACAGTGAAGCTTTGGATGACTGACCAAGAAATCTTTGGGGTAGGGGGGCAAATATACCAAACCTCAGCTTGTTCTGTCTCTCAGTTAACTTTCAAATTAAATCCAATAAAAATGCAAAGCAGTTCTTGATTAAATGCACTGTTTTAAAAATTTTTGTAAGCATTTATTTATATATATATATAGTAATTTTAGAAGAAACTATTAATGTTTGAAATTTGTATATCTAATCAATGTAAAGTATAAAGTAATCTAATCAGTTCTGTGGGTTTTGCATTTCTTCACACTAAGATTGTTAACAGTAAATATTTTAATAATAAAATAAATGGCTATTTGAAAAAGAAACAAGAGGCTTGAAAACTTAAGATATGGACACTGAACTACTTGTCTGATGGAAGCCATCTGCTATAAATTAAAGGGTTATGTAAATAAATGATGACTTTTTATATTCATTCTTTTTATATTTTATCTGTATACCTAAAAATAATCTTTTCATAGTTAGTGCCAATATCACAGTAACACTGCAAAAATGTTTCTTATTTGATATTTAATGTTTGGAAGTACATTATATGTTTCTATTATAATTACAAAATGTAAAAGGATACTGTCTGTAGTAATGTATTCTCTTTATGTTTTTTAATACGGATAATTTAAAATTCAAATAAAACAGAATATTTCAAAGTTTCAGATGTTCTCAGAATTTCATGTACTTAAAAACAGCAATTTTAGTGTTAATAATCATCTCTTAAAATACTTTAACAGTAATTTTGTAGGATTAACCATTAGCTTATCAAAAGCTATCAGATATCTTCTACAAAATAGTACCTGTGGACCAAAATTTTTCTACTCACTTCTCACATAAAATTAGATTCACTGATACATCAATGAGAATAACTCAGTATTTTAATCAACAGTAGCCAAATTTATAAAGCATTCGTATCCATACTTTTGAACTTCTTTTTCTTTTCCAAAACAACAATAAAAGTTCTCTGTGTACATTTTTTCCCACTGTGCTAAAAAATTGGCTTTCAACATCTTCACACTGTTTGATCTTTTTTAACCTTACAAGATACACACAATGAAATATATTTTGCAGAAATATGAACTGATCCAAAGGTTGAAAATGACTGCAACTCACACTTAAGCGATTTCAGTTTAAACAACCCAACAAAACCAGTAATTTGGTACAAGTTTCACTTAGAACGCAGAAGGAGGGGAAGACACTGTGTATGGTCTAGTGTGTTTAGTGGAATATGTGCAGAAAATAATTAATAAAAGGTAGATTTTATTATTCAGCTCATTCAAAATTATATATAAACACTGCAACTGAGAACGAAAAAGATTTCAAGTGTCTAACTTCTTTCTTTTTTTAATCTCTTTTATCAGTAGATAAAAGCCACAAAAGACAAACATTTGGGGATACTGTACTCATTAAATTTGACTAAAACTCATTTTCTACACTCCATGTTTGCACAAATGAAATGTGAATTAAGCAAAAATAACTGTGAACATTTTCAAGTTCACTCTCATATTAACAAATCAAAATTCTAATTACCCACAATATTAAATACAGACCCTCCCTACAAATTCAGTGTTGCCTAATTCATTTTGTGGTTCCCTGGCTGAATAATTTTACCATGGAAAACAGAACGTTATAATGAATCCAAAATTTCTAGCTTCATTTGGGGGACAGTGGATTTTGAATAAAGAATGCATATGTATACACTTAACATTGACTCAGGATTGCTTCCCTAGTGCCAGATCCTCCCTGTCTCACTACACTGGGGAAGTCACAGCACTCTGGCTGATAAACACTAATAGGTAAAAGGAATATCTTTGATTTAGATCATTGTTTCCCACGTGCCTGAGAACACCTGAGGATCTATGAATATATTCTTTGGAGTCTGAGAATGTTACAAGTTGCCTTGTTTGGGTGTTTTCGTGTTATGCTATACATAAGATTACATTGGGGGAAATCTTTCTGACAACATTTTCCAAGAGCTATTATCACATAGTTTCAGGATCTGAGTTTGATGATATTTATGATTTTTGGTGTTAACTGGTTACAATGACTGTGTTTAACTCTTAACATAGTTGCCCAAACCAGGACTCACTAATGTATTCTTGGGGCCTGAGAGACATTTTTCCATAAAGACAAATCCATGCATTATTCAAAACCACGAGACACTAGACTAGATCATCTTTCCAAGGCCCTTCCAGTCTGAAAAATACGTATATACTCTACTGCAGCCTACCAATAATTTATGGAGATCAAATTTTAAAAGCCTACTTAGAAAAAGTAAACTTCACAAAAGCTATAATTTCTAATTCTGCCTACATTCTACTAGTTTTCCTTTTATAATTATGTGCAAATAAAACTTTTGACATAACAATAAGCAATCAGTGGCCAAAATCAAGTTCCTATTAGCAATAGTCATTATGATTTTTAAATGACTCAGAATACTACATATTAGCTAGAAGTCATAAAATCTGGTTTCTTTTTTCTAGTTTTGCCTCTGGCTTAAAATAACATCTTAGTATTATAGTGATTCATTTTTGCAACCCTCACTTTTTGCAAATTTAGTACATTATGCTACTCCATGAATAAAGTATACAATAAATACCAGGTACTCATAGTATTTAAATGATAGTAATTAAATAAATGGGAAAACAACATATTTACAAAACTCTGATGTTTGCTTTCCTTTGTTGTGATTGTATATAACCTACAATAATGGCAGAGTTTTTGACTGAATATAATGATGAATTATTTTGATCTAGTTTTTGAAACATTATGTTTAAATTTGTTTCATATAATTTTTAAATGTACATAGTTTTACCAATTAGCACTTTAAAATATCTTATTGGTAAAAATCACTGTTTATTGTTAAAAGGATAAAAATAGATTCTTACCATTAACTTACTCCTCATAATTATACATCAAGTTATTAAGCCAAGAACTCAAAGGAATTCTCTACTTACATGTATCTTTATATTTAAAGCACCGTAACACCAGGAAAGAGAAGTAAAATGTTTGCAAACTGCAAAGATCTTCTGAATTTAAAATGTATGTGCTTAACATTTAAAATACTTAGCTTTTAACTTAAAAGATTAGGAAAAATGAAACTCCTTTAAATTATGCACATCATATTATGCATTTCATAATCAAACCATTTCATAATAACCTTAAATGTTATTAAAAGACAACAATCAGGTTGAAATTTAAATATGAATAAAATTTTTAAGTAAAAATCCTCCAGAAAGAAATGTGTAAGAATTTTTTCACATATGCAGTATCTTACGAGAACATTTTTAAAAAGAAAGTTTTTAAACCATTTCACAGTCAACAACCTTAAGTTTTATTAAAAGAGAGCTATTAGCTTCAAATTTAAGTTTTCTTTTCCCATTAACCTAGCAAATATAACTGAAGTTAGTGTATTAACCTCATTTCAAACTTTCTTCTTCCCATAAAGTTTTCTACTTTTATTAATCTAAAATTTCTTTTCTAGAAGATGTAATCATACCATGAACTGAAGGACACTGCAGACAAAATGAAAAATGTACATTTCCAAAAAGTGCACGCTTTATTATTCTGTGATAAGTCAACTTTTTCCTTCTGGAAAAGGCATGTACAATTGCACAAATGTTAAAATCTTGGCCAGGAAGTTACTCTACCTGAACCGTAGAGCTGATCTCAGATGCAAAGCCGCCTGTCAAGGGAGCCTCATGACTGATCAGCAGTCGCCCTGTTTTGATCACAGACTGAAAATGAAAAGAAAAACTCCATGTTGAAGAGAACATATATTTCAAGCATTTGATAGCAACTTTCATGAAGTAATAAAAATAATTTAATTTCAATAAATAATATAAAAACAGTTGATTTTATGCTTAATAAGCTACAACTCCCTTTCAGCTAGATGGTTTATGATTTTTATAGTGCTAAAAAATTTTAATGTAGCTTATAGACCCAGTATAAAAGAAAAATGAGATTAGTAATTCTGTGCAGCATGTAATTTAATGCATGCCTATTTTATAAGATATTTTTGTGTTATAAATGGAATTACCATTTTCATATCTCAGTATCAATTTTTTCCTTGTATCACTTTAAAAATGAAAGTATCTTTTCATTTTGGGGTATATTTACGTGTAAATAACAATAATCTTAGGAAATACTGTTTGGGGAAAGGGAAAAGACAAAAATTTCACAAAAAGTTATTGCAAAGGAAAAGGAGACCCTACTAAATACCCAAGGAAACCTAGCAGTGCAAAGTCACCATGAGAGTGGAAGGGACATGACCCTTCTTGTTAGCGTGCACTAAAATCTGGTTAGTGAGCACAGCTCCACTTAATGTGGAAAGTGCCACAAACAATAAGGATATATCTCAGTTATTTAAGATAGTTGTTCACACTGTGCATGACATACCCTGTACAATAATAAATCAAATAGTGTAGCTATGATATCATTGCAGGATGCCAGCTGTGCTGGGAGGAAAAACTATTAAAATCAACAGCAAGTTATTACTTAAAATACAATGAAATGTTATCACAGAAGTGGTGATTTCTTCTCTAAGCTCCTAACAATTTATTATCTTTCTTAAAATCTATTTTATGAATATGCAGTGAAATCTTCCCAGCAAAAATATATATCTGAAATAAAAGATTTCGTTAATTCTAGACAATTGCCTTTTAGAATTTAGAATATGGAAGCAGTTTCAGCCAACAGATGTTAAACTCCAAGATATGGCCAGTAGCCATGACAGAAATAAGTTACTGTGTATACTAAGCAAATAGTTGACTGAAAACATAAAGTTTTATGAACACCTTAATGAATACCACCCTCCCTCCAATGAAATGCTAACAATGGAGATTGGTTTTTAGCTTTTTTTGACTGTTGATTAACTATGCCATTTTAAGAGTCAAATAAAACTTTAACGTACCTAGATAGAATCATAAAGACATAAAAATACTCTACAATCAAGAAAAAACCAAAAAGTATTCTCTGAAAGATGTTCTGACATCTGAAAGATGTTTCTTCTTAATCAATTAAGAAGAAAAAAAAAAGATTTGTCAATCAGAGCTTTCTTAAAGATGTAAAACCAGAACTCAGCCACAAAGTGTGTAAGTCAATATCCATCCTAGCTAATGGAGCATGTTAAATTTCTAGCAATTAGAAATGAGAAACTTCTATAAAAAATGCTGGTCTTACCCTAAATCTCCGCCCTATGAGCTAGTCCTTTTTACCTGAGCCCAGCCTGCCCAAGATCAAGTAACAACACTTAGGGTGATCACTGAGTGCCAACCAGCAAGCAGGGCAGGCAACTTAGGCTTCCTGCAGCCTGGGGAGGGAGGTGAGAAACCTAAGAACAGAAGATCCAGGACAAAAGTTTCCAATGACAAGCAGCATGATATATAAGCAGATGAAATCTGGAGACTTGAGTATCCTACAGCAGGGAGATGGCTTTAACACACCAATATACTTCAGTACTGTTGACTATCATGCAGACATCTAAAAAAGACTAACCACATGGAAAGATGCCCATAATAAAACCATTGGCAAAATAAACAAGCTACAGGACAATACCATCTCATTTTGTGAAAAACAATTTTTTCTGTCTGCACATTGAGCTGATGTGTAAACAACTTCAAAGATTGCTTCCAAATTACTGGAAATTGTTTCTCCTGAGGAATGGTAGTGAAGGAATTGAGCAGAAGGCACATTTTATGTAGTTTTAGATTATTGACAGCATTCTCAGTGAGTCTAGAATAGGTAAAAATAAAGAGAAAGGTCTTGAAGTGATGCTGAAGATAACTATGAGGTACAGTACAATAAAAAATCTTCCCAAGAAACAAAATGATTTTTTTAATGCTATCTTAGGACTAACTTCAGAAACAAGGGACTCCTAAGGTCCCAGACTCTAGCTACAAAATAGCACACTAAAATCACAAAGTCAGTCTCCCCTACCACACTCTGTGTGAGCCACTGCAGGTAGGGATTGTAGCCAGGTCCCAACTAAGGTCTCAAGCTAGAGGACATGAGACAAATGAGAAAGGACCACAGGTGTCTGAGAAGGTCAAGTTCTTCAACACCTGTGTGTGTGTGCGTGTGTGTGTGAGTGTGTATGTGTGTTACATAAAAGTATGTGTTCTTAGATGAGGAGATATGCTGACAGACACAGAAGTAATTCCAGAAATTCCTAAAGCACCAAGAACTAGAGGGCACACAAAATAGGAAGGAATCACACTAAATTTGTGGAAATTGACGCTGTACACAAACAAGTAAGAGAGAATGTGGTCAGAAAAGAATCAGAAATAATGATACTAATTATAAACAAGGATTACAATGTGCCCTGCTCAGAACTGAATAGTTTGTGTTCATATGTCTTTTAATTTAGTAAACATTTCAGTTTCATTATTGATTCTCAAAAAATTACCTCTTAAATCTGAAAGCATTAAGTAAAAAATAAACTTGTCAAAATTCTGAAAATGCCAAAATTTAGTGATATTTTCAGTCATATTCTCAAACAAGTAGCATATATTTAACTGCCTTAATACAGTTTAAACATTTTGTGAGTTATGATAGAAATTCCATTTTGTATGTGCTTTAATCATTCACAATTTTAATTTACTAGTATTCCTAAAATTTACTTTTTTGTATACCTCTCTGGAAATTATTAACACTTCATTGATATTATGATGAGGTCACTAAAAATTTACAGAACTGAAGAGAATATATTTTCATTGTCTGTAGTTCAACTGGATATTCTGATGAAATTATTACAACTGTCAGGGAACTTCCATAATGAAGTTTAGCATTTTGATTAATACAGTGTTTTTAATGGAGACTGACATTAATCTTTTTAAAATAAATAACTATAGCTATAAATACTAAAAATACTTTAGAGTTTGTTTTTTTGGGAAGAAATCATTTTCGTTCTGTGATAAACATATTTCTCCACTTGAAAATAACTTTTAAGTGTTTAATTTTCAATATGAAAGCTGAACCAATCAAAGCCAAAGATCACAGAAGGCTGGATTTTCCAGTATCTGCTTCTCTAACTTTTCACCACTAAGAACTGCTCCTGGATTCTGGCCTATGGCAGATGGAACCCTAATGAGTTTGAAGTGACAAATTGTACCAGTGAAAGTTAAGCCAATTAATGATTAGGACTGTGAATAACTATTCTCTGTGTCAACTACTCTAAAACAAAAAGACTTTGTTTCTTGCAAGGGCTTTAAAAGATCTGTCAAGAAAACTTTAAAAACAGCACAAAAGGCTAGGAGTCTTCTCAACACTTAAGTAGCTCCTTCCTCCTCGAGTAGCTGAGTATCCGTAGTATTGGGTCACAAGAAAAGCAAGCACAACCCCAATACCAAACACACAACATTACAAACAACAGAACATTCCTGTTCTGCTGGAACCTTGATAACTGCTCCTTGTCTAGCCATTCCATGACTTTTCCCCATTGTCCCCTTTCTGCCCACACCCACATGTTTTTATTAATGATGATAAATAAAGCTGTTTATTTAGGATGTCAAGCACCATGCTTAAAGCATGGCAGATACTCCACAAAAGTTAGATAAAAACCCACTGTTACAAACATTCATGTTCTGCATGTTCCTTTTTTATTTGTTTATGCTATTACAAAATCCATTTTTAAGACAGTGCAAAAGTATACTTCCGCATATCCTTAAATAATTTATTAAAAAATAAGACTCCAAATTAATGGTATTTTAGCATAGATTTTTTTTCAAATTTAATTTTTAACTGATACCCAAAGAAATAAAATTTGTACACATATATGGGTACTCTGTGATGCTTCAATGGAAGTAGACTAATGTATCGTTAACAATAAGATACCTGTGCTAATATAGAGCTGCTATGTTACACTCCGTTAAAATGACTGCACAGACTTTGGCTGCCCAAACGTTGGACATATGTTTTAGTGAATGTAGCCTTTAAAGATTTTTAACACAATCCAACCAGGAAAACTATTAAGCTGTCATTCTAGGAGAAAATGATACAGAGAGGCAGACCATTAAGCTTGCATATGCCTGAAAGCGCAACACTGACATTCAAAAAGCAATGCATGTATTATTCCTACTCAAAATCTATAGCAAGATTTTCTCCCTACAATTCAATCTTACTCACAACACCAAGTTCAGTAGCTACTCTGACTGCTGATAAGATAAAGCAAAAAAGTACCATTTTAGATAGGCAACTTATAGCACTTTTAGCATTTTCTATATGAATATAAAGCTAATGAAAAGCAAACAAAACATCAAAGCTGACCTTCACAAATTCCTCAATGTTTAAGCACACTAATGGTAAAATCATCACGTTTCATTAACTGAGATCATACTACTCACTAATTATATAATTAAAAATCATTAAGGACACAATAGTTAATAAGCTTCAAATATCAATACAAATGAATTAGATAAATATCTTGAAACAATTTCATCTTTATTAAAGGCACTGATGAGTTAGCCAGGAAATCCTGACAATTAATCACAGGGTGATAAATGTATTTATATTGCCTAGTAACCACTATTAATGAGCAAGACCTCCACACATGACTGGGCAACTGGCTGATACTCCACCGGAGAAATACCAATGCTTAAGAAAAGAACAGTCAGGAGCTCCAGGAAAAGATCTGAAAAGAACATTTTGGCAAGGATGTCAGTGATGGGGTTACAAATATTTTAATATTGTAGGAAAGTAGTGTAAACTGACAAAAAACCAAATTTTCAGGGCTTTATCA